TGCCGATCTTTTGGCTCGGAGGACCCCAAATCCATCGCCGCCGCAAATCCGTCGCATAACCATAAATAAGTATTCAACCAAAAAAACATGTCTGAACTACGATCGAATTGGTGATCGTTTGTTCTGACTGGTACTTCCACGAGTACAGTAGAAGGGTAAATGGATGGAGAGGCAAATTGTCAATCCGCTTCTTGGCATGACAATCGAATGGCGGATAAGAATTAATAACATTGAAACATCCAAGGGACACTAACCCAATACGAATTTTCCTTTGGGATAAATTTAATTAGTATAGACCAAGGCCACCTACCTTGATAGATAAAATAGATAAAGAAGTAAATGTTGGAAAACCCATATCAAACAATCAGGGGTAGAACTAAATTGCCAAGGACCCTAGAATCAAATTCCAAAGACCACTTATCGGCTGCAAAACCTTTGGCTCTCTCTCTCTCTCATTTTTCCCTTCGATCATGGTTCCTTCTGCCTGTTTCATCTAGGGATCTAGGGCTCACCTTCGACCACAAGCCACGGCGAATCTATCTGAGGTCCGCCTGATCCAAGGACTCAAATCCAGATTTGTGAAGTGGTGCAGTGTGGTGCACCATCAACGCACCGTTGAGGCACCGGTCACCTTTGCCAGAGATCTTGGGCAGGTGCTGGAGTGTCAAGTCGACACGGTGACCGGAAGCTGTTCATGGACATCCTTGGAGCTCCTGTCACCGGTGCTTCGTTCGGCGCTGCTCTTTGAAGGGTCACCTGGAAGTTCCAGGAAGCCTTCCTGAACACGCTGCCTCCAAGGCAGCCGACCCGGCTGCCCCGGTGCTTGATCATCATTTTCCCCTGCGGCCGTGAATGAAGGCCATCCGCCATTTTCAGACACACCCAATTACCCAATTGTAAAAACAAAGGTTCCCTGATTTTCCATGTTCCTGGAGACATTTTGGGGTTCCATGCCAGCTGGAAGCCGCCTTAAAAGCTGAGATCGGACTTGAATTCCAACCGCCGTCCATTTCCGGTCATTCGTCTTGAAGGCAGCAACTTCAGGCCCCAGCACTTCCCAAACGGTTGGGCTTGGGTTCAGCTCATTCCTTCCTGACTCTACAAAACGCTCCCCCGAAACGAATGAGATACCCAGAACGGCATGGGGTCACCAAAAAAAACCCAACCTGATCCGTTTTTTTCTTATGTTCTTGATGTGGATGAAAAAAACAAATAAGGCACACATCAGGAGTCTATGGCCACTTGCAAGCTATCCAGGCGCGACATGCTTCCCACCACACCTCAAGCACCTACCAAAATAGCTCAACGCGAATCCAGCAATCTCACGAGGCAACATTAAATCCAGTCTTACCCACTTACCCTCTGGTAATTAAACATAACTACGTATGGAAAATCACCATTTATAGTGAATTTTCCCATTAAACAATTGTGATTTTCCATAGCTATGTTAGTTTACCAGAGGGTACATACATATGCGTTTCGTGTAAAAAGATCCGTTTTCTTCGCCGTTGCCATGTCAACATACCGGAGGAGAGTTTCTGCCGAGACACCGATGTGGCAGCAGTGAAAGCTGCGGCCGGAATAGCCCTGAGGCTGCAGGCTTCAGTTTCACGACTGGAGCCTGTTGGACATGACATGCAGAAATAACGTGGTAGATACCCCAACTGATTAAACCATATTAAAGGACTATAAATCGTAAGTTTGGAATGTTTCACCGAGTCAAATTTGCACAAAAGCATCACATTATCCTATCATACCCTTTTTGTGATTTTTCCAAGGCTCACTGGGTAGCTGGTGAACTGACTGGTGGCTTCATTGAACCCCAGCTGTGCCAATCCAGGCAGTGGACAGCGGCTGATGCTTGAAACAACAAGTTACCAAAAAAAACAACTTCAAGCCATCTTGGAAGATGATTGGTATTTTAAGGATCCCCCAAACTGATGGTATTCTAATGATTTACTGAACTGATGATTTGTAAACCAATCCTCTTGTAAAATGACCCCCCCGGCACAACATGCCGGGCAGCCTTGAACGTGCCACGGGGCCCAGCGGCCCAGCCTTCAGCAGCGGGTATATTATGGTATTTTTTGTCAGCCCCGGATTAATACACCATGGTATATTGTGGTAAAGTCATGTATCATGGCCATGGTAATGCCAACACCGGATTAATAACCCGCCCCAGAGAAGGTCAGGGTATACCTTGCAAGGTCTTTCCTAATTTTCCCCGTAAATAAACACCCCCATGGAACGGGTTGATTAATAAGGGGAACCCTCTGATTATTATTAATGGGGCACATCGGCTCATGGGGGGTACCCTTTGGGAGCTATCGAAACTGCTGATTCTTATAAAGAATTTAATTAGAAATCGATCATTTGGGGAGTAGTTTTTTTTTCAAATTTTCAATGATCAGCAGTGATGGATTCTGGTGTTCATGAGGTTTCAACTTAAGTATAGAATAAGGAAACCAATTGAAAATAAAGAGAGTTGGACAATAAAACAAAATTGGATTTCAGCACTGGTGGTTGATTAATCATGTCCGGCCAAAACGGTTTAATCCCGGGGGACCACCTGTTTTTAAATTGCAAAAAAATGGGAGGAGGAGGTTGATTAATAAAGGGGTGTTAATTAATCCTGACTTGACATTATATATCATGGTATATATATATATATCATGGTAAATGGTATATATCATGGTATATTGTGGCAAAATGATAGGGTTAGCCTCCAAATCGTGATAATATGATACTTGACTGGTACCCCCCTATGAAACAGGGATTTATTAGTGTTGACATTATCACATGTTTATTGCGATTCAAAATAGCATTTGTTTCTTAACCAACGGGGGATCGAATGGAAGATCTTCTTTTAACAAACACCCAAATGTGTGCCTTTAAGAATTATAGATACCCAAAAACCATGGGTGTCCGCATTTAAACTAATCATTTGTTGGATATATGTTGGTCAGTTTTTTTTTTGAGAAGCCTCATTTTGAAGAAATACCCAAACAAAACCAAACAGTAGACTTGTTCAGCCAGCCGGTCACTTTCGGCAAGGTACAATCAATGTTGCTCTTCTCGGGGTGCCTGTCATTCCATTGGCTGGGTCAGTGCGGAATCAGCCATTGGGGTTGGAAAACATGGAAGCGAAAAAAAAAGAAAAAAAAACATGAACTATGACTACTTTTTGTATGACCTGTATTTGGTAGAAGTTGGATAGAATCATTGTTATTAAAACTCCGTTTCAGTCATACACTTTAAACTACAAAGCATGAGCCATGGGGTTTGATTTAAACCATGACATCTCTGCAAAAAATGTTTTCCGATCAAGCTTGCCTGAAACAAATCGTTGTACTTTGATTTACTTGGATCTGGTTGGTGATTTCAAGCCCTCTGAAAAATATGAGTTCGTCAGTTGGGATGATGACATTCACAACTGAATGGAAAGTCATAAAAGTCATGTTCCAAACCAACAACTAGTTGATTACATTCCAACATATTCAAAGGCCATCAGCTTGCACGACCAGCCAACAAAAAGGGCGCCATACCGATGTCGGCCACCAGTTCTTTGGACTCATGGCATCAACCAAGCAGGAAACACGTGCTCGCTCCGTAAAAAAGGGACAGCCAGCACGTCTCGGTTTGATTTGTCAAATGGGGCACTGGAACCTGATTCTTTCCGAGTTGTTGATGATATAATATATACATATGTACACATTTTTCGTATTTTCTATATGGATGCTTCATTTCTTAATCTTACTGGTGCATTTTTGTTGCAGGCATGCATCATAGCATTTATGTGCATGCTGGTACGCAATGATATGCCTATCCACTACATTTCCCATATCAACATCCCGTCCCGGCCTGCAGGGACAGGAACAAGGCAGGGTTCCATGGCAGGTTTTTGTTCAGCGTGCAAATGTTTAACAGGCAAGTCGGCAAGCCTTGATTGCGCAGGCATTTATCATCTCCTATCCACGTTCTTCTCTGGGAGCCAAAACATGTTACAGGAGATTTTGGGATATTTTTGGTTGCAGCTCTGGCAGCTACCCACGAAAGAGCCAAAGAACATGTTTGTTTCAACTGACAGAGCCATGGGGGAAAAGGCGGCAATGTTAGCTATTGACCTCTGCAGAACGTTTATATATGTGTTTGCGCAAATTGTGCTTATAGTTCTTGCGCCAGAACATGTAGTCGTTGAATGAGGCATGTTTGTTGTTCATTGCTGCTTAGCTCCATTCCTCTGAGCCATATGTTTGCCGCGCCCTCATCAATACCCACACTCAGACAGTAGACTACGGGAGTGCCAGCAAATTCCTCCTTCAGTCGTCACAATGGAACAACAAAGTCATCCATGAATATCCATGATGGCATGACTCAGTCCCCAATTCCGGTGAACCCACCAGCTCAAAACTTCCCATTGGGGCCATGGTGGCACCGTTGATGGTCTGACCCCCCACGGTGGTGGACAACGCATAGCAGCGGATCTTGGCCTAGCACCAGCTCAAGGGTGGCAGCAAAGCTTCTGATGGATATTCATGAATATGAATGGCATTGGCATATATATATATATAGTAATCAACTATTTCATAACATCATCAACTACAGGATATTGATGATAATGGAGTTGGATTTGGAGGTTCTATCTCCTTGAATTGAGGCTTACTTTTTTGCTGACTTCATTCTACGGATCTCTGAAATGATTGTGGATGAGCATTAAAAAACATATTTTAAAGATTGGCCTCCAACATTGCAAGCGAGGTAACATGAGTCAGTCCACTTCCACAGAGGTCCTGGTAAAAAAAACTGGGGTGGGTTGAAACTAGTTGAAACCTTTCAAAGATGACATTTCGAAGGATGAGTTATAACACAATCAAGCTTGGTGATGGAGATTGTGTCAAAATTGACGACACTGTGAACCCCGACATGATCGTCAATTATGAGCAGTAGACAACCATTTCTCTCCTGTTGGTCAAACATTGAATGTTGACCTATTTCAACGGATAACCATGGATAAACAACATTAACATAGCTATTGAAAATGGCCCAGTCGAAATAGTTGATTTACCCGTTAAAAATGGTGGATCTTTCCATAGTTATGTTAACGTTTACCAAAGGGTATGCTATGATACCATGGGACAATCGCCAGGTCAACTGAGATCCAACCAACACAACGTCTAGCCAGACCTCCACGAGCTGATGCTTCCGTTGTTCGCAAACCTGAAGCACCAGCTGGGATGCAGGCGATGAAGAAGCAGGGTCCCACGCAGCAAAACGAAACACCAAACAAAATGATGTTCAGTAGAGAAATCATAGAGAAATACAATCCCAAAAATACGGAAAATAGTGGCAAATAAGATTCTACATGATTCATCATGGTTCTACATTTTACCTTGTCTTGGGCGATATCAATATACTTTAAACCCTCAACATGCTTCAATGATGAAGAATTGGATGTGCACTGGAGCGTGGGGCCACCAATTCACAAATATCTGATGGTTGCTCAATCTCCCTAATATCACTGTTCATTGTAACTGGGCTTGCACAATTATTAAAGATCGAGTCCCACAGAGGGCTGTTGCTGCTTGGCGAACATGGATGGAGATGGATCTTCCACGATACCCATGTAGGTCCCCCGACATGTTCTAAGATGTCAAACCATGGCATGGACAACGATACCGAAGAAAAATAGAGGGGCCGGTCTGGTATACCATCTATTACTGTACCAATAAAGGCTGGGGGGACAAACCCATCTTAACCTGCTATGAATCGACCAATACGAAAAGGACAACTATCCGCATCACGGGTGTGATGGTTACTATCCCAAACTATATACATGCCAATGTATACCCATTGCATCACTCCATTATATCACTATCATATTCGTATCCCCTACAAGCCAGGATATTCCGTTGGAAAATCCTATGGCCCAAACAGGTTCCCTCTGTTTTCATGATCATGATCAATTCTACATCCAATGCTTACCATGTGTCATCATCACAATTCAAATCCATCTATGATATGCCTGCCCACGAATCTCTTTTTCCCATGTAGTCCCATATCATTCGAGAATCCTTAGAAACTCCCGCTTTTTCTTGGGATTCTGTAGGAGCTTCCCCATGGTTCCCCCAAAGGGGTGCCTGGAACATGAAGAAGAACTTGCCGCCGATTTCCCGGATCACGGCTTTGTCTGTGAATATCAGGGACGCTGCGCCTAGGCACGCTGGGGTCCCGACTAGTCATCGGCAAATAGCAGCCCACAAATCTACAGATATAGATGATATTTATACACATATATATATATATACATACATATGAGTAGAGTTATATGTGATTCTCTGGGTTTATATGGAATCTTTTGCATATAATGGGAATATCATGGGGTTATAATGAAACTAACCATACTGAGCTTTCAATGGACTGGCATAATATGGATGTATAAGGGAAAATCGACACGAAAAAAAAATTCTTACCATCATCCAAGTCTGGGGAAGTGGCAATTTCAAGAGAAACTATGATCAACTTGTTTGATCTCCCTCTGCCTCTCTCGCTATCTCTGCAGCCTGCAAGCTCTACACATTTTTGTCCAAACAATGGCTGCCCGATGGGTTTACCAATGGTTCATCCACAAGGTGCACACCTCAACACTCCATTGATACAATTTGATACATAAAAATTGGAATGGGACGACGTTCTCTGGTACTTTGACCTTAGTTTAACCATGTACCAATTTGCATGAGTACCCTCTGGTAAACTAACATAACTATGGAAAATCACCATTTTTTATCGGAAAACTCACTAATTATAAATGGCCATTTTCAATAGCTATGTTAGTTTACCAGAGGGTACATAGAGTGTCTTGACGAATGCTTTGGGCGTGGCACACTTTTTCAACCGAAGGCTGGGATTAACCCAGGTGAAACCGCCATCAGTAGAACCAGGACTTCTTCTGCTGTTCCTCGGGTGCAGAAGGCAAAGTGATGCCGTGCTTCTGCGCACCAAACTTGTCCACGGGATAGGGCAGTTCTGGCGCCTGTTCAAATTCAGGATAGCCTTGGCATGGGCCAAGGCTCCCAGTCAGTGCCTTTTTTAAGTAATCCGACACCTCAACCTTCTAAGACATTCAAAGTATTCATCACAAATTAAAATAAAGTAGGTCAAATATGGTAAAATATCACCAAAATTGGAGATCAAATGCAATTTTTCTATAGGTCAGTAGGGGCTGCAGCCCAAGTACCATGGAAGGTGCCCGCATGGATCTGGTGCAGCTTGCCCAGCTTCGCTTGCTGTACCGCCGCGCCGATCTTGTCCAGCAGAGTGACAGGGGCTTCGTCGGACCTGCAATCCATCCATCTATCTATCTACGGTAGATAGATCTATGCCACATGCAAAATCATGATATAGATCGGTAAATATAAATACACAGCACATTTTAACGCATTATATAGCGATTATCTTATATATATATATATGTGTGTGTGTTTGTGTGTGTGTGTGTCTGGAGAAAAGACCTTGTTGCAATAGATTGTGGTGACTGGCTCTCAGCAATGGAGAAATAAGTGGGATGACATACACCTCCCCCAAAAGAAGCTCGAACAAAAACAACAAGAGTATGGTTCCTATGGGCAAAAGAATCAACATCAGTACAAGGCCCTTGCTTTTGGTCACCTACATTGTGGGATGAATCCCTGGCCTTGTAAACATTGCAAATAATTGGCCTCAGCATGTCTCAGCGCATCGTAACTACAAACTTTAGTCCCACCAGGCTGTGGCACCTGCCACGGGGATCATCTTGCAACATCTCCATGAGCTGATGGTATCTCGCCTCCATCCGCAGTTGTTGCGGCAATGCCTCCTGCGGCGACGTGTGGCGATCTGGAATCTTGCGGAAAAATGAGGTGCCCCGGAAAATGGCCACTGATCTAAATTCATTTAAGATCCAAAGCTGCCTTTGCCCTATCTTGAAATGGCGTTTTTACCCCTTGTTGCAGGTTTTGTCTGCCAAAAAATTGGACCATCCTAGCCTTCCAATTTTCCGCACAAATACCATCTTTGGCACCCAAACTTGATGGAAATCAATGTTTCTTACAGAGAACATTCAGGGCATCAGTTGAATTTCCCTTCAACTCAAACGGTTTGTCTGAGAATTGGGCATCCCATTCCAAATTCCCAATGGGAGGTCTACCCCATAAATCAAGGCAGACCCAAATCTCACATTGCCAGTCATATATGTCCAATATTCACTGGCCAATTTCCACCATTTGTGTTACTTAGATTCTTTCTAGGTGTATAAAGGACCGTACCAAATAAGGCTGAAGACGAAACCTTATGAAACCTTCCTCTTTGGGATGACGCTGGACGATGATTTTCCCATGAGACCTCCATTTCTGGTGGGGCTTTCCCAGCTCCTGCAGCTGCAACACCTCTTCCTGGAGCATCTGAAGGGCTGTGTCTTTCAACTGCAGCAGTTGCCGGAGCTCCTGTGGCGGTGTGGTTGCATGATGGACAGGCTTGCGTCGACTGCCGGATCCCAACGGTGACTGCTAATGATATATTCCAAATCTATACACAGCAGTCTGTTCTTGGAAAAACAACACCCAAGTTATGCTTGCTTCAAACCTGAATGCCCTCGGACATGATAAATGAACAAATAACCATGACAAATTCACAATTGATCCCCCTTTTGGTGGTCTAGACTACGGTACATCCCCAGATTCCAACGCTCAAAGCCCAATCTATAAATAGAGACATATAATGAAACATCAATGAAACATCAATGCCGATAAATCATCCTCAATTTTCCACCTTTATTGTTTAATCAACCACTCAGAAGTTGCTCAGAAGTTGCTCAGCAGACTGCTCCTCCAGTGACAGCGTCTCCGTTTCCTTCGCCTCGGCCTTCTTCCAGGAGCGATGGACGCGTGGCGATGTAGCGCTCTTCCGCGAGCGGTTGGAGCGGGGGGACGCGGAGGGCGACTGCGACGAGCGGCTGCTCTTGGGCCTTGGGGGCTAAGCAAAATATGGCCGCGCAGGACCTCCACAGATCCCTGGGAATCACAATCCGATTGTTGTAAAGTTTCACCAATCCAAGAAAAACACATAATGAAACATATGAAGCTACACATGTGTTTGGGATTTAAATGTGGATGTAAGCAATGATAGTGACGGGTCAGTGGGCAGTAATGGTGATCTTCCAGGCGGATGGTGGGTTCCACTCCGTAAAGGATAGGGCAGGATAGATGATTTCGATAGTATGACCTCGGGTGGGGAGAGTGCAGGGAGACTGGATCATACAAGAACGGGGTACTGTACATGTGTGTATGTATGTATTTATATATATATATAGGAGAGGGAGAGAGAATTATATTTATGTGTGTGTGATTACATGTATGTATATACATGTGTGTGTTGTACATGTTGATACGGGCGTAATTTGCACATTAACAAACCAAACGGCAACCAACACATCATAGCGGTGTTGACAGGCAAGCTGCAGGCGAGACCTCTTTGCAGTTCAAATAATATGTTTTCAGTTCGTCATTTCCATGTGTTTGCCATAGGGTGACTAGACTGACCTCGACTAACTACCCGTACCCGCTGTTATCAATCACTTGTCAAGCTGGGTTCTGAATGATAGTGACATTCAGGATTCGATCAACTAAAATGGGACGTCCAGGCCAGGCCATCTTACGAGAATTTTCAGGAAAACTGCCACTTAGCAATGTATTCCTAGCATCATCTTGAGACCACCGCCAGAATCCCCCATGAAGAAGCTAGAGCTAGGAAAATAACTGTTGCCGTTGTAAGATGGAAAATCCGCATCTACCTTCAATGAAGAAAGCGTGGTAAGCCGCATAGATTGGGAAGGTTGTGCAAATACTGGTGCCCTGTTCTGCTCATTTTGTGGGGTCCAGCCCTGCTGCCAAAGAGCGAACCCAGCAAGTATTCACTCGGCAATTCTGGCTGGCTCATGGCACGGCCGCTCAGGAACTGCTGCTTACAAAAGCCACTGGTGACTGGGGAAGCAATGCATGACCCTGACATACTCTGACTGTTTCGCGCTTGATCCACCTGGATGGCTGCCAGTCTTTTAGTCAACCGTCAACAGTCGTCAAGTTGAATTCCGTGCTGGGATTGCTGGGAAATGAGCCATCACATTGAGCAAATATATACACGCATAGCATACGTATATGTATAAATGCATGAGAAGTACATGTGTTGATTTGCTGTATATGATGCACTTTTCTTTAAATATATGAAGTGTATGAACTATACTTGGATAAATAAAACGAATATATGCAGCATATCTTAGTAGGAACATGTATAGTACTTGGAGGATTATCCCATTTAGTAACTGGCTAGTAGGTAGCGTTAGCTCACCCAATTGTGAATGGGACACCCACGAATCGGGGACATACTAACCAGGGTTATTAACTAATTGCCAAGTGCGATGATCCTCCAAGTAGTATCCCTGGTGTGACTTAAAGTCCGTTTAAGTCCCCATTCAGTGGCTTGTTCCATAAGTGTTTATAAATCTATGGTCCATGGATTGTAAGTATGGCCACTGACCAGTTGAATAGGTATAAAACTAATTATAGTTCTAAGTTATAATGGGTTTTTAATCCATAGTTAACATATACATCAATCATAATTAAGTAATTAATTAACCAGTTAAGTCAAGTCCCATTAAATCACCATCTCCTAGCTCTCAGTGCCTAACCCCCTCCGTCGAAAAAAAAACGCTAAGACTGTCACGGCTGGTGCCACGAGAGAGGCGGCAAAACATCAGGCCGATCATGATGGCGTTTTGAATCTGCGGGGCGTGGATGGCCTGGATACGGAAAAGAATACTTATTATATATCTGGTTGGTGGTTGACCTACCCCTCCCAAAAATATGAGTTCGTCAGTTGGGATGATGACATTCCCAATATATGGACGAATAAATTTCATGTTCCAAACAACCAACCAGAAATGTACGTATGTATACTATTAAATCATATTATATCATATTATATTATATCATATTATATTATATTATATCATATTGTATATACTGTTCATGTAAATATGATGAAATAATATTCAATATGTATAGCACCCCCCAAAAAAAGATGAAAAGGTTCAATTGATCGCCGTTTCAGTAAACTTGTATTCCATCTTTTTTGAAGGTTACAGTACTACAAACGTGGAAAAAACATGTGATGTCCAAACATTGATACAATGATGGTCCAATGCTGCTGACTTCTTAAATCCCTGGGGCATCCTAGATCTATTGAGATGCCCGAGACCCATCCAAATCAATAAACTTGTGAGGCAAAAAGGCCGCAAAGCCATGGAAACGTTCGCATCCACATGGACACAAAGCACAGGATTTGACATTTTACGCTAAATTATGTTATTTTTTTTAAACATCACTATAGTTTGGATCAAACATGGTATCATGCCGAATTTCTGGAAAGTATCTTTCACTAAATGCTTGATAAACACATGCATATCATCAAAACTATCTTTTTTTTTCTCTCTCCCTCTCTCTCCCCTAATCTTGGGATACCCTGCACCAAAAAACACAACACTTACTGTAATTATCAGCTGGGGATCTTATTCTCGGAAAGACAAACACTGCTTTACAAAAAAAACACAGGTTCCGCCCAGTTTTCATTCCATCTCTCAAAGTCACTGCGCCTGCATCACCAGCGTGTGCAAGTAGATGATGAAGATACCGCTCATGCAGCCACCCCTCAACGGATCGAGCGCTATCGACAGCAGCTTCGGTGGAGCTAGCGACAGCAGCTTCGTCTGAGGGTATGACTTGGAATCAGCAGCTTTCATGTAGGGTGACCTTAAGGCGCCAAGGTGAAGCTGGCGAACCTGCCTGGCATCCTCAGAATGCCCAAATTCTAGCCAGAAACGAGTCGAAATCTATCTGAATATGATAATTCATGATAATTCACTAATCTGAAGACAACTGCAAGAAAGCCACTTGGGGATGATTCCCATCATTCTAGTGACGTCACGTTGGGAGGTCATTATAATTCAGCCGGAATCTATGCGTCTTATAGCACGAACACTTTAGGCACACATCACTAGGCAAATCAAGAGACCACACGCACAGGAGGCCGGGAAACCATTTTATTTAAGTTGGTGAAATATTGACACTGATGCTTCTCAACCATATTTACACTACCGCAAATGCAACAAACTCAGATAGACAAACAAATGACCATTGACAACCTCATCCAAATACCCCCACGGAGAAAATGAATCTGTAGGGAATCCTCCGATATTTCGCCATTTGCATCAAAGACTTTTACATTAATTAAACACGCATTAGGATAGGACCAGATCTGCCCAGACGACCTTTAGGGCCTGGCCCAGGCAGGCCCCAACCAATGGTGGTACCAACCTTCGCCGCGGGAGATGTCCACCCCCATGGCTAAGTTTGATGAATCCCTGGCCAAGCAAAGAGCAATCCAATACTATACCTGGTTGGTGGTTTCAACCCCTCTGAAAAATATGAAAGTCAATGGGAAGGGTTACCCCATATATTATGGAACAATAAAACATGTTCCAAACCACCAACCAGTAATACCATGACTATCATGACTCTTGGAATGGTATTTCATGTGCTATAGGATTACAAACAGCCACATAGGTGAGCAAGAGTAAATATAGCACCTATTTGGCTGTTTGTAATCCTATAGCACACATTCGAAGTGACATTTGGATCAAACGGCTTGAGGTCAATTCTTGACCCTTGAACTGGTCACTCAACAACAAATCTCAAGCATTGTAATAGAATCCGAAAAAATATACCGTAGTGAGTAGTTTTGAGATTAAATTGGGAATCAACTTTAGAACATAGGGGATTGTTGGAAGATAGTCCTCAGGAACCCACAGGACTTGGTACCAATGTTCGAACCCAATCCCCATAGTTTGGCCTCGAGGCTGAGATACATGGCATCCAGAAGGGACTCGATCCTCGAGAAAGTGGTGGTGGAACGTCTCATGTTGAATCCATAAATTTGAAGGTTCCACATAAGATACTGCTAATCTGAATTCATTATAAGTTATAGGGAACTATCATATATATATATACATATATGTATGTATGTATGTATGTACATCTATATAATTATATATATATATCTCTCTCTCTCCATCGCCATCTCCAGGAGTAACTATATGTATGCTGTATGCATCGATGTTTCCAAAATTTGCAGGTTCAAGGTAATAGGCGGCATATTGCCCTTTGTATATTTTTGAATCATCAGAAATGACTATTCCATATCAAAACTTTGCGGGATAGAAAACACATATCCAAAACATTGATTATAAGGCAACGAGTAGGACCGTAGGACGTGTTAAGAGTGGATGGTGAACCAGTCTGATCCACTAGAATAATTCAAGTAGCTGCTTGGCTCCCTTAACAATATTGATCTATGAAGGGCACCAAAGATGGCAACCGCCCCTGACCCAGTTAGAAAGCCCGAGAGTTTGTGGCTGAATCCAGCTACGAATACAAGTTGATGGCAGCAACAAATCCTTGAAACATAAGACATAAGGCAGTATTTCAGCGTGGTGGGTACCTTTGGAGAAGCACCCCCCCCCCGGTTGACGTTTAGAAAATATGATCTTTTTGGATGATGGAGAGCATCCTCCAGAAGGCTAACTTGGGCAAAACCAATCTTTGGGGCTGGAGGTCACTGTGTAAAGCCGGGGCACTGCAATTGGCATGAAGCATCAATCATGAAGTAGATCCTGACACCCGGGAACGGGATGGCACACCCGGGGGGATGGTACCAGGAATGTGTAGGCATTGGGGCAAGTGAGCGGAGCAGGATGCACATAGTTCGGGATCATCACATGCTTTTCAAAGAACATCATATGGCAATCTCAAGAGATTGATGTACCACTTATGTACATGTCTAGAGTATATCTACGGCAGTATCTGCATTTACCTGTACGTGTGTCATTATACTGTATTTGTTTGTATCTACATATAAAAAACAATCAAACACTATTAGACATGATGTATATCATATACATAGATGTCTGCGTCTAGTAAATAGCTATGTTGTAGGTTATATTTGCCTGTGCCATGCAACGGGCTGGGCTCCCAGCAAGGAAAACACCAAGTGCGTGAAGAGATAGCTTGCCTCAGTCGCCATTGGCGTGCACTGTTCAGTGCACGGCCCTGCGTCGATCTTGATCCAATGTTGGGGATGCCTGCTACCACTGGGTATGCAAATGTATGGCGCATATTATGTGCATACTGTATAAACATACGTATACATATAATATATGTATAAATATATAATATAATAATAAGAGTTATTATTATTAAGACTTGTTAAAGTGGCCACGTCCTGATAAACAATGCACTGGGCTCGCAAGTGACATGGAATCAAACTCCCACATAGGGTGGGAAGGCTCCATCTTCATGTCCACCTGCTGGCCCATCCACAGCTTCGCCAAGGGACACAGAAAAAGGCGATGATCTTGATGGTGCTATGATGAATCACCTCCCACAACCCAAACTTGTGGCCGTGCCATGATGCACCAAAATGGAAGTACCCTCTGGTAATGGCTAATATAGCTATTGAACATGGCCATTTATAGTGAGTTGTCCCATTAAAATTTGTGATGTTCCATAGTTATGTTAGTTTACCAGAGGGTATAGTTGATGCTCATTATGGAGTGCCATGGCCATTGTTTGGTCTAAGGTAACAGAATGAACAGGCCTTGTTGGTATCTGGACATCTGGACTGCTAAATTTGTAAAATCCACCTTTGCTAAATTTGGGTCCCTGGCTAAGGGTACGAAAAGTCTCAGCCCCTTAAAACAAAAACGACCCTGGCATTTTTCTTGAGTAGTGAAAATTATCCCTGGAAGATAGTGAGGCATATCCAAGTTGTGATTCCAATGCTACAATGGTTGGGGGAATTTCTGCGAGTCAGATTGGAAAGTATCCTTTTTTAATTTCCTCATTTAATCCTCATTTATATAATCTTCATTTCATTATCATTTTGGAACCTCAAAAAAACATCGTTCCTCGTTCAATCTTCAAAAAAACTTCGACAAATCCTCGAACAAGCCGTCTTTTCTCCTCCAATTAGGAGGGATGAAGATTTTATGAGGCTCCAGAATGAGGATTACCATGTGGATTATATGCGGTTCCAGAATGAGGATTGAATGAGGAATGTGGATTTCGCGAGGTTGGATTAAATGAGAATTAAATATGATTATAAACGGAAAAAAACATGGTTTTATACGGTTTTATTACCTCCAGTCTGTAGCTCATAACTTCTTGGTGCCCGCTAGATCGCACGGTGTCAAAATGGCATGAAAAAGGGCAGGGCTGCTGCTTGATGACAAGAAAACCCATGAAGCAAGAGCAAGGTGAAGGGAGAGGCGTCGTCCCAGCATCAAAGAACTCAGCACAGGATCACTCGATTTGATTACGTGCGTTTCGTGTGTGCACATGGTTTTTGACCCATATCATGCCGCGCCTGAAAAACCTTGAATTTCCAAAGTTAGCGGGTGACTGCCCGATTACGGCCCTTACCCGGCAGATTATGACACTTACCTGGCAAATTACACCCCTTAAAAGACATAGGATTATGTGCAAAAAACTGGTAGCTTGTCATGCCATAGGTTCTCATACCCATTAGATCATCCCGGGTTTTGTGGTCAGGGAACCCATCATGCTACAAAAAAAGTGACTATATATATATTTATATATATATATGATGTGTCTTCTCGGTTGACACTTAGCCTTTTGATGCCGTGATAAACGTATCTTGCCATTTAATGTCTGTCATGCGAAGATCATATTTGATATATTGCATAGTCTGCGCAACTGCCTCATGCTGTAGCAGCCCATGAGCACAGCTTTCCCCGGCCGTTTCACTGGTTCTCAGACTAATTGTTCAGCCTTGTCCCTGAAACATCTTCGAACTCCAGACTCTGACTTGAAACTCACATAAAATCTGCCAAAAGACATCTGAGATCTGGAATGATAAAACGCTCCAAAACACGAGACCGTGAGGAACATCAAGGTGCTTATTATCCTGAATCTTACGCGTAACCAGTGCAATTATATTAATAAAGTACACTATACTTACGTACTGACAACAGCAAAACAAATTCGTAAGACAATCCTAAACCATCCCAAACTTGACCATAATATATATACTTTCGTAGGTGCTGACGATGGTGCTTAATCACCATGGATGGAAACCATCAGTCGGCTTTGCTGGTCCCGGCACCGAGTGGAAGGGATCAGCCCAAAAAGAGGACCACCTGGCCGGACAACGCTGGGTGAAACGCCCAATCCATGTGGCAATTTGATGCAATTTTATGCCGCAAAAGAATGGGAACACATGTTTTTTTTTGTGAATGAATATGAATGAACATGAGTTCACATCATTGGAATTGGCGGTCCCGATTTGACGACAAACCCGGTAAAAGAAGGATAGGACCAATTGGACCTCCGGAATCCTCGAGGATTTGGTGCTCTGGTCGGAGGCTACCAAGTTCGAGCCCCCAAACCAAATAATTTCCAGCTCTTCCAAAAATGTGGTGAGAATATATGAGAAGACTACTGCAGACAATTCCTTTTAACATAGATGCGCACATAAACACACGCATACCATACAATCTGTAAACATAACCTATCTGGTTGGTGGTTTCAACCCCTCTGAAAAATATCAAAGTCAGTTGGATGATGACATTCCCAATATATGGACATTCATAAAATTCATGTTCCAAACCACCAACCAGCTATAATCATAATCAAAGACATCCAGGAAATTTTCAGGATCCTATGGGTCCAGATTCGCCATTACCAAATTTTTCCCTGGGACCCTGAAATCCCTGGGACTCACCCGGAATGCTGTGCATTGTGTACTCGCAGGATGTTGATGCGGCCTGACACGCGAGTACCGAAGTGGGGGTACCAAATGACTCTCTCAATGACCATGATTTACTATGATTTAGTATGGTTTTGTACTGAAAACAACCATGGTGACTTGGGGATCCGGCATGACTTAAGAAACCTGCGCGCTATATATATATATTATATTATATATATGTGTGTGTATATGTGTAATTATATATATAATATGTTTATGTATATGTAAGAACAACACCCAGTACTAGGGCACGATGTACAATACCACGCATTTCTGGAAAGCAAATGGGATGTTTCTTGTGCGCGTGCGAAGGTCTGCGTCAGATGAAATGGTCAAGTTTTCAGATGCTTCCCATGCCTGGCGCATGGTTGGCGCAATGATGGGAAAACTTAGCAAGTCAAGACACGCACATCCACGCCTATCTCAAATGGGATGGCACCAAAACATGACAAAACCAGTAAATAGATTGAAATCACTCAGACAAATCAAATTTCTGGATATTTCTATGACTCTCGGTTTTGCACTGATGAAATCCATGACGTGAATGTTGGCAAAACAAACTCTGTATATAATTACCCTGATTTCTCGATAGCATCCCTTTTCCGGCCAATACGGCTAACTGTGTATATGTGGGGCTAATTAGCGGCTAATTCATGACCAACCTATGCTGACATTAGATATCTTAGATTATTACCCTGCCAACTAAAGGGACACACACGAGATATATTAAATATACTAAATATAAACAGTATATACTATATATTGTATTATTGTAAGATTATAATGCGTATACTAATCTACAGCAATGTTTCTTTGAACAATCCCACTCACCAACCATTATTTGCATTAAAGAGTCACAAAGATTTGACAAGGAAAAACTAACCATCCGCCAAGTCTTTCCACTCATGCCAGTGGGCAGCCGCCGCGGCCTGTGCTCTGCCGAGATGTCTCATCACGTTCAATAAAGCGGCGAACCTGCGACACTGACGACACGCCAATTGTGGTGTTTTTTTTGTCAATCGGGGGAAACAAGCCTTGAAACATGTCAAGACTATGATGACTATATGTGTATATATGAGCCAAAGACGATATTTGGAATATATTTGGTACATAACGCAATTGACGGGGTGTTCCTACCTCACTCTCCAGTCCCGTAGCGTTTTTGGGGGTCTGACCTCGTTTTTGAACGACGTAATTGTTTTTAATATCGCTAAATGCTTTACATGAGATGGCGATGCCTACCTCGTTCTCGGGGTGTTCCTATCTCGTTTTAAAGCCTAATAATGATGTTTTCAACAAACCGGGGTATGCCCCAGTACTACGCTCCATTTAACCAAAGAAAAGCCGTCACTCATATGATAATATGTGTCTACACACATACTGCGACATATATCCGTATAAATTACATTAAATTACATTGCAATACATTATGCAATAAACATGCAACAACGTGATGACTGATTCGTCAAAATTATTGTGGTGATGCAAGAAAGCGAGTTTTGCATGGAATCGCAACTTAGTAGAAATCGAATCCTGATGTGGCAATGAACACCAGCGGAACTGTCTCTGCTGCCTGTGACATCTGACTGCTTGGGCTCACATCGTTCTGAACCATCTCCATTCACTACCAACCCTGTCCCTGTCCACGGAGGGGTTGTCCAACACACAACCAGGAGACCAAGGTATATCCATGGGCTATTCACATGTCAGCATCAAATGTTGCGGAAACATTCATTGCTGCATTTCCTGTCTAGCTTTTTCTGTGCACAGCCTTTCTTGGTTAAAGGGCACAAGCAATGTCGCGTTCTTTGCACGAGCTGAGCCGAAACGTCATGCAGTCATCGTGACCCCGAGGTGCAGGAAGTGCGTTGAGGGTGTGCCTGCAGTGATAGTGATGTTCTTAAAGGGGAACCACTTCCCTCCTCAAAAATGAGAAACAAACTCTACCATCACAGGTTGATCTAAGACCATTGAAGCACCACTTTGGGCAAACCACTACAATGTACTATGTATAACCACTATTAACCACCAACACTGAAATGATGCCTCAACCAAAGAAAAGGACGATGTGGGTAGTATATCTGGGGACACTTTTCAAATGTGAAATCAGTTTGGTGTAATTATAAAAAGCCGCTGTTTCACTGGTTTACATCGAATATATCCCAGTTCTAGATGTGTCAAAACAGGTATATCTCCCAGTTCCGTCCCAGTTTGGCTCATCTCAGCCGCCTAGTCTATTTTCAGATATGTCACGTGTTTTTTACTGGCAGACATTGCCCGCACTATCCTTTTTTATGTGGGCAACCCCATGCTAAACCGTTGGGGGATGGTACCATTCTTGATCCATCCCTCCTCCTCGCCCAACTCCCTTTCAATCAAAAGGCGTGGAATTCGGCGTGGACTTCGTGTTGGGCGAGGCTGGGGCGAACCAGCCTGTAGCTGGGGCAGCTGGGACCCTGTGGGTTCATCCCAACCATGGTTTCTGCGGGATGTTTGATATTGGGCCTTGGGCAGGGGATATTTCAGAATGCAATCAGAATATGCTTGGATCCTCAGCACACTAGACTTGGAGATATCAAGACAAAATTGCACATATTCCAAATATTGTGCTTGTGGTTTGTATGGCTTTCATTTTTGAGAGACCGACAGAATCGACAGCAACAAGAATGAGAGGATCTGAATAGCAGAACTGCATGTAGCAATAGCCCCAAGGATCTTACAAAATGCGTTTGACTGCCTTGTTCAAATAATTGAATTGTGCGAACTTGGTCATATTGACGGCTTAAATCCACAGGTAATGCTTAGTTGCTGATGTTGCTGTACTCTCTCTCCATCGCCATCTGGTTACCTTCGGGAAATTGACCCAAATTGTCATTTATACAGTTCGATTGTTTTTTTCCTCACAGCATGACCCACACTGCGTCTCACGCGCCAATGGACTTTGCCATTGGGGAGGGCTATGTGCAGCCACGCCGTTCACCGCGGGAGGCGACTATCCGGTGGGCGTTCATGCCACCGGCGTCAGCCAGGGTCGTGGCGAACGGCGGGGGCTCCCCATCGACGCCGGGCGCGGCCGCGGCCGGCAGCCCGAGGAGAGTCTAGGCCAGCGACGGATAGGAGGCCGGCCCAAGGGTGCACATAGGCTTGAACTGCCGCCGAGCGGAGGAGTGCTGGCGCAGTGCGGGCGCGGGTGTGCGCCAACTTCGAGACCTAAGATGATTAGGTGGCAGCGGCGCGAGCAGGAAAACTCGGGGTATATTCCCGCTTGCGCTGGGAGGCTGCCAGGATCGCCGCGCCCGGGGTCGCGTCGGACGTGGCGAAACCTGTCCGGTGCGGCCCAGGGGGCTGACGAGGGTCACGTCGAGTGCCAACTGAGCCCCGTGCCAGAGCGGCAAATCGTTTGCGAGGACTTCGATCTGGCGGGCGTCGGTGACCGGGACAGAGAGGTTCATGCGCGAGAGCGGTACGTTGACCGCGACGCGGGCACCGGCCTCGCGGCAGATGCGGGCGACCGCACGTTCGATGGGCGCAGCTCGTGCCCGGAGGACGCCAGTGGTGGCGCATGCGGCACAGTGGTCGCCATAAGGGTCAAGCGCCAAGCCACACCGACACCGGGAAGGGCCGCAGCTCAAGGGGGAGCCGCCGCTGCATCAAGGTGCGGAAGTGCGGGTTGCCGAGCTGGAATTCCGGGCTGGTGGGAAACCTCTTAAAATTGATGATTTTCAACCATTACCAAATTTCAAAGGGTATCTCCAATCGTTGCCTATTCAACCAATAAACGCCCATTTGTTGATGTTTCCCCAACCCCCAAAATAGATTTCCATAGCCACAGCTTCCCCTCGCCCATGAACGCTTCCCCTCGCCTATGAACTGGGCCGGCGTCCCGTCGCGCGAACTGAGCTGGGCGGCCATGTCAAGTAGCGGAGAACCTGAGGTGCCAGTGCCGTTACCAGCAGCCGTGCCAACATGGGGAGTTACTCATCAACACTTAACATGGGGAGATATTGGGAGTTAATGGGAGTTACAGTACCCATCACAACTTGGGATTCTTCAACGAAACACATGGATTTACGACCCATCGAACTTGGGGACTTACGATGATTTAGGCATCAAACATAAGACTTGACATCAAGAACCATCAAGGATCATGAAAACCAGGAGGTCAAACTGACAAATAGAGGCTGGGGCCGCACAGTTTGCTGTTGTTGTGCAAAATGCTGGACCAACAAAATGGGGTTTGAACCATTTGACCTTGAACAATCACCCGGAATTGCATGATCATTCATATCTGAATAGATATATCATCATCTCAAATGGGTCCAAAGCGGAGGTTTGGAGAAATATCTTGGAATCACCCACCTGAGAGTTGCACATCGTGTCTGAATTGTCGGATGTGTTTGGGTCACATGAAAATCCTCTGGTTGGTGGTTGAGCCACCCCTATGAAAAATATGAAAGTCAGTTGGGATTAGTATTCTCAATATATGGGAAAATAAAAATCATGTTCCAAACCACCAACCAGTCCTCCTGTTTGATCAGGATGCTTGGGGCTGCTTGGGGTCCAGTTGGAACTCTGGTGACCGGTGACCCATTCCCCGCCTGCGATGGGCGACCGCAAGGAAGGCGATGGAGCCGTGAACGGAGATTCTGGATGATCCTGCTGGGATTACGTCCGATGTGTTGTGTTTCTGGTGCGTCCAGTCATCCCCTTACTTTAGGATCGACTCAATTTCGGTCAATCACCCAGAAAGTCATATGCAAATGATCTCAGCAACAGGGTGATCCCTGAAGTTCGCGATGCAAATTGTGAATATCTGAATCTTGTCCTCTTGTTTCTCAGCTCTAAGTGAGTCTAGACAAGTGAATTACTTGCTGGTTACAGCACTAGCCTCTCCGAGCTCCATGAATCATGCCATTTGGTGCTGGTCTCCACTGGCTCAATAGACTCTAGTGGAAGACTCTGACTACAAATGGATCAGCAAGTCAACCAAGTACCTTGGGGAAAACAAAACTGCTACCACCTATTTTCCAACCATATAATAGCCATGTAAAAATATATTGTCAACATATATCAGGCCATGAGCCAACAAAAACATATCTGGACAACAGGCTTTTGTCAGATGTTCCAACCTCAATTTCCACGTCCAGGTTCTGCCAGGACCCTACGAGGTCCTCCTCCAAGTTGTCGTCCAAATTCAGCTCAGAGAGCGTGAAGGGCCGACTCCTTTTGTGAGCGAAACTTCGGTGAATAGTATGGCCACATATGGCCACCACATGCCACAATCCACTGAACAATGGTGTGATTCTCATCTGCTCATCTGCGGCACTTTCGCGGCGAACATGTTGTGTGGGGGAGTGCACTTTCGCGGCGCATGTCTTCTGAGGCTCTTTCGCGAAGCTCTTTCGCGAGCTTTCGTGCCCAGCTATTTTCCGTTCGCTGAGATAATAAAAAAAAAGTTAACTCCTTGATAAATTTGTTTAAGGCATTTTTGAACGCTGCTCACGTGTGATTTCCTGAATCTACCAGTACATTGATGATCCCCGAACTCATCAACTGGTTTGCAGCTCGATGGTTAGTTTTAAAAATCGCTTGAACATGATATATCCCAGCAACCAATTGCAACGAATCATTTCATCAGTGATTTACCCATCACATCCCCGCCTTTTCTTTCCAGTGGTTGAATCTACCCTCTGGAAATCTCACATGGCTTGAAAATTTGCCCATTACAACCTGCGTATCTAGGGGATGTTTCCGGGTCACAGCATCACCACTTTTCGTAAGCCAGGTATCTTTGAAAGCTTCAATGCCTGGCACATGTCAGGACCCGACGAGCCCGGTTCACACATGATTGGGTCAAATGGGAATATCATAACATCCACAAAAAGAACAGAATGGTGGTCAGGTTGGAAACTTCATGACGACTCCTTTTCTGAGTGATTAACTTAGTATTCATCCACACCCCAGCGTATATTCAAGTTGCCTGGTAGCTGACCGATAGTATTTACCCGCATTGACCTGACCACTTCCAAGTAACCAACAACAATCACAAGTCCCCCGATTGGGGATACTTCATATATGTAATTATATGTATATAGATTACCCCACTTACAAACTTGGGTTAGGATAACCAGGTATCAAACTGGTTAAACTATGTTAAAATCAGTTATTTAAGCTATAGCTACTAAGTCCTCAATATATATATATATATATATACATATTGACAATAGTTCCAACATATCTGCAGAAATAAATGACGATAACCATAACAGCATTTTTTAAACAAATAGCACTTCACTTATTATGCTTTACAACTTTACAACCGGTTTATTTGACCAAAATAACTACCCTCTGGTAATTTAACATAGCTATTGAAAATGGCCATTTATAGTGGATTTTCCCATAAGAAATGGGTGGATTTTCCATAGCTATGTTAAATTACCAGAGGGTACCTGACCAGTTATAAGTTGGTTTATAAACCCCATTGACTATAGTTATAAGTTCCATAAATCATAGTTATTGGAGTTATAAACCAACTTAGCTATCTTGGGGGCCCCACATTGTACCAGTATTTGCCATAGTTCGGTCCCCAAACTTCCAAAACCTTGATTCGTAACGCCTCCATTGCCCAGGAAGGCAACTCGGGAAGACCAGTTCGACCCGGAGCTCCATCTAAACTGCTGCGCAACTTGGAGACCTGCGCCGAAATGGAACATGCCAAGGGCGCAAAGGAAGGCTCCAGGGAATATGTGGGCTTATGGTTGTCAATATTCTTATTAGGATATAAAAAGTCTAAGTATGATATTATTATTATATATAGTATGTTCGTTATAACAATCTAATGAAATATGATGCGTTTTTTTTAGCCTAGGCCTAAGTCAACATCAAAAGACTATGAGAACCGCCACGGCCTATCTTATCATTGAGTATAATAAGCATATCCTGTCTAGCAACCTCAAGAAAGAATAAGGTTGAGGCTGGTAAAATCCAACGAAAATCCCAGTCAACTCTTTGGTTTGTTATTTCTCATCATGATCAAACTCAATTTGGTATATCGTCAATTACTGTAGCTATCAGCTATCACCAATTTGGGGTTAATTGGGTGCCATAACTACGACCATAATCAAGAATCGGGATTCTATCTTTTCGGTGGTTGCTCTGAGGGCTGATGAACCAACTGAAATATGTAAATAATTGAAACAGCAATTGATACCGCAACTGATGAAGAACGCTACCTTTAAGGGCAAAAACAAACGTGGGTATAAAACCAACTATATATATATATTCTTTATCGGGATGTAATGGGATATATCATGGGATAACTGATTGGGTTCAAACGTCTAAATGGTTTCTACTAATTTATTTCGCAAAAAAAACATATTGGACTATTTCAGGCCAGCAGTGGACTGAAGCATCTTGGAGCAGCTTGACGTGTGATCCCTGATTCCCAGAAACTGGTTGGTGGTGCAGTGTCCGACCAAATCCTCCAGACAGAGTCTAGATGTTTATCGTCAAACGCATATAACCAAAGTAACTGCGAAACCCATGAATCATGTGGTAAACATATATGTCAACATTGGTAACCCAATTATAAACCCGCCCCAGTATCACTATTGATGGGTGATAACAGTCATCACCAAATGATAGGCTTTTCTCTGGGTGAATCCGTGAGTCCGAATGGGTGCACCATGAAACATGAAGCCACCACTCCCCAGGCCCTGACTTGAACTCGCAATTTCTCTGCACCTTGCCTGACAAGCGGGAACCCAACCAAACGATCCAAACAAGGAGCTCTTTGTATGGGAAAATCCTGGGACAATCCCCGAAAAAAACGACGGTCTTGGAAAACCATCGATAAATGGTTGGGTTTTTATTGCCATGTGTGATTACTGTAGGGTAAGTCAGGCATGGATCCATACTGAAGGAATTTCACAAAGAGTTTTCAATCCACAATCAACCTATACAACAATCGGTCCAACTATAATCATGACGGATCTTGCCTCTGACATCCTCTGACGACAACTCATATATGGCAATAGAGATAGAGTGGGTTCATTCATGGTTCATTGACCAGTCCGTCTGCGACTGGCCAAGATCTTCGAGTTTGAGCCAGCCATACCTATAGTAACCCAAAAAAGAATAGAAAAGGACTGAAACTGATCACTACTTTCAGAAGATTGGCCTTTTTCATCTTTTTAGCTATTGATAAATCCCCGATATATATTTTGAGGTGAAATCACTAATATCGTATGAGTAATTTCCAATCTTTCATGTTAAAATATATACTGTATGCATATAAACATGTCCTGTGGGTTTTTGTGGCTATCCTCCGGCAATCAAATTTATGGCAATGGAAAGTGTTTGATTACCGCAGGGTACTGTAAATCATTAATATCCCTTGATTATCTGAGGAGTATCCTTACTAAACCATAGTAAAACAGATTCAAACCATATCATGGCTGTGTTAGTGAAAACTCGAGGACAAATCACCAGTAAATCACCATCTTAACTCCCAGGAAAAATCCCATTCAATCACCACGAAATCACCACCGGGATCAATTTAAACCGAGCCACTGGATCTCCTTAGCCGCCTCCGCCCATGCGCCCGCAGAAGACTTCAAGCAGCGCGCCAGAAGCCTCGTGGATGGTGGACTGGCACGGACGAAGTGTGGCAAAATGGTGATTTAATGGTTGATTTAATCAAATTTATTGTGGTAAACGGTGATTTGATTGGATTTAACGGTGATCTAACGAGATTCAACTGGTAAAAAAGTGATTTGATTGGATTTAATGGTGATTCAATGGGATTTAGTGTGATTTAATGGTGATTTCATGGGATGTATGTAATGTGGTAAAATGAGTATATGTACAGTATGTATGGCTTACAACATGTTAAAGCATCATAGTCCCCAATGAGGGCATTTGGGCTTAAATTCCCAGGGTCTGGCTGGTCATGTGCTCACGGAATCTCATATATTGTTATATATATCCATTCATATACCTTATGCTATCCTACCAATTCCTCCCCCAATAAAAAACATATAAACCCTAGGGATCTAGTTAGTAGTTACATGTAGTTACTGGATCTATTGATGAATTGTTTTTTCCCCGCTTTGCATATGACGCCTGTAAGGCGAGGTTACTCTGCAGTGCCTCCATGTGATCAAATAAATGGGGTCCCAAAAATTGAATCGGGCTATTCAATATATTGGCATATATTGGCTCTATTATCCCAGTTTCAGGATGCTTCACCGAAACTAATCCACCATTTTTGATGGTTAACGTCGCGCAGCTCTTTTTCATCTTGTTGAAATGATCGCGCATGGGATGAAACCAATCAGCATATTTTAGGCGGATGGGATGATAATCCAATGTTTTTTTTCTGAAGACTTGGTTGGGCACTGCTAATTCACCAATATGGATTCTCATCATGTTTCCCATGCGCGGTATACCCCCATTTTTAACACATCCCTGTAGTGAACTCGGCAGCATCAGCCCGAATTTGCATCGCCTGCTCCGAACGAAGTCCACATTGCTCTGCAGAAGCCTCACCTGGAAGTACGTTTCATGTTCACACCAGGGATATGATGCAGGAAAGGCCCACTAAGATTGTTGGAGGATATCATATGCCTGGTTTCATTGAGTTCTGTAATGGAAACATCTACAGTTGGATGGTCTATAAATCTATCTTGGGGGCCTTGTCCTGTACGGAGGATATGAAAATCTATTTACTATTGACAGAAAGGTGGGATTGTGCATATTATGCACCAACAATCATCCCCCTCAATGTTAATATATCAAACTCCTCACAGGAAACCAAGTTTCAGTATTGGATGACCCTTCATTTTGGGGCTTTTCGTTGGGCTTATTTGACATAACATTTTCTTCTATCAGGGATTACTTCGTGGTTGAAAAAAATACGCCAGGTGAACATCAGCACTAATGTCAACCCCGGATTAATAAACCATGGTTTATTAATTAGGGGGGTAATCCTTCAATAGTCATAATCTGATACTTAAATGGTACCCTCCCAATTAAACAATCTAGGGGTTTATTAATCCAGGGTTGACATTAAATCACCAAGATGCATCTTTGGAAGCTGTCTCTCGGACCACCCGGGCTTCGTTTGCCTCTTCTGTACCTCATCGAAGTGCTGGACTTGCGGCAGCTGTGGAATTTTAGGCTTTCGCCTCCGGGCCCACGGAAATAGTGTACCTTTTTTTTTGAGTTGAAAGAACATCCAAATAGATTTTATATAAACATTAGATTCCCCTGCTTTTGGCGGGTTCACCACGAGAATCATTTTCAACAGTCGTCCACGTAACTGGTTGAAGTGCAGTGGTCGAACTTCAAGGATGTATGGGCAGCGACAAGATGGTCCATGTGATCGTGCGTGAATATGTCTATGTCTATGTCGGAAATGGGGTTCTCTGAAATGATGAATGGTGTCCTTTAATTTACTGGTTGATCATGAGTTTATCATATGTTCTTTATACAAATGGTGATAATAAGTTATACCATGGTCATACCATGTCATACCCCATATTTTAATGCACCCAAATATGTACAGTACACTGTGACACTCATCATCT